TAGTCTAGTCTATAGTCTAGTCTATAGTCTAGTCTATAGTCTAGTCTATAGTCTAGTCTATAGTCTAGTCTAGTCTATAGTCTAGTCTATAGTCTAGTCTATAGTCTAGTCTATAGTCTAGTCTATAGTCTAGTCTATAGTCTAGTCTAGTCTATAGTCTAGTCTATAGTCTAGTCTATAGTCTAGTCTATAGTCTAGTCTATAGTCTAGTCTATAGTCTAGTCTATAGTCTAGTCTATAGTCTAGTCTATAGTCTAGTCTATAGTCTAGTCTATAGTCTAGTCTATAGTCTAGTCTATAGTCTAGTCTATAGTCTAGTCTATAGTCTAGTCTATAGTCTAGTCTATAGTCTAGTCTATAGTCTAGTCTATAGTCTAGTCTATAGTCTAGTCTATAGTCTAGTCTATAGTCTAGTCTATAGTCTAGTCTAGTCTATAGTCTAGTCTAGTCTATAGTCTAGTCTAGTCTAGTCTATAGTCTAGTCTATAGTCTAGTCTATAGTCTAGTCTATAGACTAGTCCATAGTTTAGTCTCTAGTTTAGTATATAGTCTTTCTGTAGTCTAGTCTATAGTCTAGTAAATAGTCTAGTCTATAGTCTAATTTATAGTCTAATTATAGTCTAGTCTATAGTCTAGTCTATAGTCTAGTCTATAGTCTAGTCTATAGTCTAGTCTATAGTCTAGTCCTAGCTAGTCTATAGTCTAGTCTTAGTAGTCTAGTCTATGGTTCTAGTCTATAGTCTAGTCTATAGTCTAGTCTATAGTCTAGTCTATAGTCTAGTCTATAGTCCTAGTCTATTAGTCTAGTCTATAGTCTAGTCTATAGTCTAGTCTATAGTCTAGTCTATAGTCTAGTCTATAGTCTAGTCTATAGTCTAGTCTATAGTCTAGTCTATAGTCTAGTCTATAGTCTATGTTCTATAGTCGTAGTCTATTAGTCTAGTCTATAGTCTAGTCGATAGTCTAGTCTATAGTCTAGTCTATAGTCTAGTCTATAGTCTAGTCTATCGTCTAGTCTATAGTCTAGTCTATAGTCTAGTCTATAGTATAGTCTATAGTCTAGTCTATCGTTAGTCTATAGTCTAGTCTATAGTCTAGTCTATAGTCTAGTCTATAGTCTAGTCTATAGTCTAGTCTATAGTCTAGTCTATAGTCTAGTCTATAGTCTAGTCTATAGTCTAGTCTATAGTCTAGTCTATAGTCTAGTCTATAGTCTAGTCTATAGTCTAGTCTATAGTCTAGTCTATAGTCTAGTCTATAGTCTAGTCTATAGTCTAGTCTATAGTCTAGTCTATAGTCTAGTCTATAGTCTAGTCTATAGTCTAGTCTATAGTCTAGTCTATAGTCTAGTCTATAGTCTAGTCTATAGTCTAGTCTATAGTCTAGTCTATAGTCTAGTCTATAGTCTAGTCTATAGTCTAGTCTATAGTCTAGTCTATAGTCTAGTCTATAGTCTAGTCTATAGTCTAGTCTATAGTCTAGTCTATAGTCTAGTCTATAGTCTAGTCTATAGTCTAGTCTATAGTCTAGTCTATAGTCTCTAGTCTAGTCTATAGTCTAGTCTATAGTCTAGTCTATAGTCTAGTCTATAGTCTAGTCTATAGACTAGTCCATAGTTCAGTCTCTAGTTTAGTCTATAGTCTTGTCTGTAGTCTAGTCTATAGTCTAGTAAATAGTCTAGTCTATAGTCTAATTTATAGTCTAGTCTACAGTCTAGTCTATAGTCTAGTCCATATTTTAGTCTCTAGTTTAGTCTATAGTTTAGTCTATAGTCTTGTCTGTAGTCTAGTCTATAGTCTAGTATATAGTCTAGTCTATAGTCTATTCTATAGTCTAGTCCATAGTCTAGTCTAGTCTATAGCCTATTCTATAGCCTAGTCTAGTTTTAATGATTTGTAAGATGTTAACTAAAGTTTAAGCTTAAAGTTTTATTAATGATTTATTAAAAGTTTTATTATAAATTCTATCTTTTCACTCTTATACAGTAGTTTTTTTTTTAATTTTAAACTCATCCATTAAATATTTTTATTAAAGTTTTGTTTTTAATTACGAAAACACGCAATTTGTTTTCAGATTGTCTGTTTACATTTGAAATCTTTAATTATGCAGTTTTCCAAACCATTGAGCATTTGGTTTTTCTGCGAAAACTTTGAACATTTTTGTATTATTTTGCTCATCTTCAATTTGCAGTTTTTGTTTTTTGTACATCTGTTAGCGGAAGTTAAAAATTTTCTTTTTTTTCACTCTCCCTACCTCCCGATTTTACATAATTGTTGTTTAATATGTTATTTTTTGAAGAAAACATTAACATTGATGATGACTATCATCATTACACATTGTTGCTCAGGTGGTGAAAAACTGGAAAAATCTTTGTTTTTTTTTTTTTCATTGTAGTTAATTTGAAACTATGCAGCCGCATTTTGAGAAGGAAATGTTGGTTTTTGAGGTTTTGACATTTCCATTGATCTTTGTGTATATGGAAAATTTTTTTTTTCAATTTTAAAGGAAATTATTGTTAAATTGTATGTTTTCTCTTAAATTTGAGGTTAGGTTTGGTGAAGAAGTTTCAATTTCAAAACTAAGGTCACAAGTTAAAGAAATATTTATATGATTTATGGTAGCGATACATATTAGATAACACAGAGCAACAAACGCATGTCTATAGTCTAGTCTATAGTCTAGTCTATAGTCTAGTTTATAGTCTAGTCTATAGTCTAGTCTATAGTCTAGTCTATAGTCTAGTCTATAGTCTAGTCTATAGTCTAGTCTATAGTCTAGTCTATAGTCTAGTCTATAGTCTAGTCTATAGTCTAGTCTATAGTCTAGTCTATGGTCTAGTCTATAGTCTAGTCTATAGTCTAGTCTATAGTCTAGTCTATAGTCTAGTCTATAGTCTAGTCTATAGTCTAGTCTATAGTCTAGTCTATAGTCTAGTCTATAGTCTAGTCTATAGTCTAGTCTATAGTCTAGTCTATAGTCTAGTCTATAGTCTAGTCTATAGTCTAGTCTATAGTCTAGTCTATAGTCTAGTCTATAGTCTAGTCTATAGTCTAGTCTATAGTCTAGTCTAGTCTAGTCTATAGTCTAGTCTATAGTCTAGTCTATAGTCTAGTCTATAGTCTAGTCTATAGTCTAGTCTATAGTCTAGTCTATAGTCTAGTCTATAGTCTAGTCTATAGTCTAGTCTATAGTCTAGTCTATAGTCTAGTCTATAGTCTAGTCTATAGTCTAGTCTATAGTCTAATCTATAGTCTAGTCTATAGTCTAGTCTATAGTCTAGTCTATAGTCTAGTCTATAGTCTAGTCTACAGTCTAGTCTATAGTCTAGTCTATAGTCTAGTCTATAGTCTAATCTATAGTCTAGTCTATAGTCTAGTCTATAGTCTAGTCTATAGTCTAGTCTATAGTCTAGTCTATAGTCTAATCTATAGTCTAGTCTATAGTCTAGTCTATAGTCTAGTCTATAGTCTAGTCTATAGTCTAGTCTATAGTCTAGTCTATAGTCTAGTCTATAGTCTAGTCTATAGTCTAGTCTATAGTCTAGTCTATATTCTAGTCTATAGTCTAGTCTATAGTCTAGTCTATAGTCTAGTCTATAATCTAGTCTATAGTCTAGTCTATAGTCTAGTCTATAGTCTAGTCTATAGTTTAGTCTATAGTCTAGTCTATAGTCTAGTCTATAGTCTAGTCTATAGTCTAGTCTAGTCTATTCTAGTATATGGTCTAGTCTATATTCTAGTCTATAATCTAGTCTATAGTCTAGCCTGGTAAGTCAGGTCAATTGTCTAGTCTTTAGTATTGTCAATCTACTCTATGGTCCTGAATACGATTTAGTTATAGTTCTTACTTAAGTCTTATCTATAGTTCGTACTATATTCCATTCTATAGTCTAGATATCTCGAAAATTTTGAGGACTTGTGAATTAATAAGAAATCCTAAACTTTAAAGAAAGATATTTTAATGATTAGTCTCTAATTATTCCATTTTTCTTTCTCTCTTTTCATTACAGCTACGACATTGGGCATGATGGTTATTTAGATTTGACCGAATTAAAATATATGATGGAAAAATTGGGCGCCCCACAAACCCATTTGGGCCTTAAGGACATGATCAAAGAAGTCGATGAAGATAATGATGGCAAAATCTCATTTAGAGAATTTTTATTAATCTACCGCAAAGCACAAGCCGGTGAATTAGACTCCGACTCAGGCCTCAACGCCTTGGCCCGCCTAACCGAAATCAGTGTCGAAGAGGTCGGCGTAAGTGGTGCCAAGAGTTTCTTTGAAGCGAAAATCGAACAACAATTAAGAACTAATAAATTTCATGATGAAATCCGACAAGAACAAGAGGAAAGACGTCGCCAGGATGAGGAAAAAGCAAATCGGCGTTTATTGTTTTCAACAAAGAGCTGCAATTTTCCAATAAATTTCCTTATTGCCCAAGCAATTGCTGAGTAAAACTGGGGTCTTTCTTTAATAGAATAAAACAAAACATTTTTTTTTTTCTTAAAGAAATCTGCCCCCAAAACATATTAAGCTTTAAAGTCGACATAACTATTTTAATATTTAGTTTATTATATTTTTTAATTAATAATATTATGATTTTATGTTTTAAACTATTAAGTAACAAAAACCTAAAAAAAGTGGTATATAAAAAAATAGTTTAAAAATTAAGCTTAGACTAAAAGAAAATTTTTAAGTTTGATACTGGAAAATGTTTCTTTTTTTATTCAATTTCTTGTTAATTTGTTTAAATTTATTGTAGAAGAAAAAAACATTTAGGGATTTCGTAAAACCACACAAACACATCACATTTAATTGATTTGATTAATATAAAATGATCAACATATACATCACAATTTTACTATACTATACATATAAATTATCATCATAATCATCTATTTAACGTTTAAACTTTATATATACAAATAAAAAAACCATAATTAAATTAAATCTTATAAAAAAACATAATCAAAAACTTAACATACAAACATACATACATCTTAGAAAATAATTAAAATTTACATTATTAAGCATTTTATAACGGAAGAAACTCAAAAAGAGAACTTATTAAAGAATTAATTATTGTCTTTATAAATTTTCCTAATTCCTTCTTCGTTTGGGTTGAAGTTCAAATTTGAAGTTATACTTACTAATTTCTAACAGCGTTTGAAATCAAATGTACACTACATAAAGTCCTATACTAGGTCCAAATTAACACTAAATATTGAAGTTAAATTTGAACTATATAAACTCAAAAGATTTAAGATCAATTTAACTCAAAGATTTATGTTAAATCTGAACCAAATAATGATCAAGAATTTAAGATACATATGATTCACATAAAGACCCTATTTAGATCACATAAAGTTCTATAATTAAAGTCGAATTTAGTCAACATAAAGGTCTAATGATCTAAAATCTTTATGTTAACTATGGTTTCCAATTTGGACTTTAAAAAAAACATAAAATAAAAGTTAAATTTGATCCATAGAAAGACCAAAGATTGAAGTAAAAATTGACCAAAATTGAAGTTGAACTTCCTCCACATAAAGACTAATAACTGATTTTAAAATCGGAGCAAATTTAAATCATAGATAGATCTGCCTTTCAAATTAAATTTCGATTAAGTAAACATCAAGATTCAATGAGAAATTTGATCTTATAGGCCAAAGATTAATGTTAAATTTATACTGCTGAAAAGTCTAAGATTAAAGTTATATGTGGTCCACATAGAGACCTCTAAATAAAGTTTAAGTTTTTCTACATAAAGATCGAAGATACAGTAAAATTTTGGATCATGTAAAGATCTGCAATTGAACTTAAATATACTCCACATATAGAACAAAGATTGAATTAAAATTTGGATCACATAAAGAGAAATGGACATCAAATTTGGATCCAGTTTGAAGTTAAATTTGGGTTTAATAAATATCAAGATTTAATGATACATTTTTACCACATATAGGCCCAAGGTTATTGATCAATTTATACTGCAGAAAGTCCTACGATTAAAGTTATATTGTTCCACATAGAGACCTCAAATTAAAGTTAAAATTTTTCTACATAAAGATCGAAGATTACAGTAAAATTTGGTCCACTAAATGAACTTTTTTTTATTCGATATAAAGATCAAAGTATCAAATCAAATTTGTAACACATGGACACGGAAATGGACATCAAATTTGGATCCAATTTGAAGTTAAATTTAGATTTAATAAATATCAAGATTTAATGATACAAGGTTATTGATCAATTTATACTGCAGAAAGTCCTACGATTAAAGTTTTATTTGTTCCACATAGAGACCTCAAATTAAAGTTAAAGTTTTTCCACATAATATCGAAGATAACAGTAAAATTTGGACCACGAAAAGATCTCTTTTATTCGATATAAAGACCAAAGTTTAGATTTAAATTTCGATCACATAAAGAGAAATTGACCTCAAATTTGGATCCAGTACAGAACTGCAATTGAAGTTAAATTTGAATTAAATAAATATCAAGATTTTATGATTGATTTGATCCACATAAAATTCTACGTCCAAAGTTATATTTTGTTAAAATGTTTCCACATAAAAACCGAAGACTGAATTAGGTATATGTAGAGCCAAGCCTGGACATATCTGGACAAAGAATGGAATTTCTATAGTGTCATCCGTTACAACTCATTCAAGAGAAAAAATAGACACATTCACGCGATTATGTGGATATGGCTAGGTCCATATACTACTGACTCATTTTTGAACAACACACGCCCAGCCTTGGCTCCACATTCACTCCTCCTTTTCAGGGTATGTGTTGTCTATTTCGGCAATAGGACCGAATTCATCCCGAAATACAGACTTCATTGTACATCAATATTTAAACCAACATTCTCATCCCCGGAGTTTGGGTTTAAACAACGTGCACCCCGATATTTTGATAGTTTTTTCTATATTAATTCCTTTCTAAGTTCTTTTTAAAATAAACTATATGCTTTTATATTGTTATTTTTAAAATAAACGCATAATTTTTTTTTTTTAAATACCTAAATAATACAAATTTGTGCAAATATTTTATACATACTTATTGAAAAACAGATATTTAAACTTAATTTCCAAAATAATATTTATTTAAAAATATTTTTTATTAAATAAAAGAACTATTCGTGAATGAAAAAACCATTTTTTGTATCTAAATTTCGATTTAGCTTTGTTTGTTCATCTGTATGTAATTAAAATCTATTTTCTGGAGACCTTCTGCATCCTAATATTGAATAATTCTATTACATATGCTTTCAAGAAGTTTTCTTTTTAAAAACAGCTAATCGTTTCTAAAACAATGGAGTTATAATGAAAATTTTGAGAAAACTCAATATTTTACTAGACTTTGAATATATTCTTTATATGTTCTATATATATATACAGATAAATAGGTAATATGTATATCAAAGAAACATATTCGAAAGACCTTTCATTTGATATACATTAATAATATTAAAAATTGCCCGTTTAATTTTTAATTTTGTCAAATTTAAAAACACTTTCTTCTAAATAGTTCTTTAAAATGTTCTTAAAATAATTTTGTATTTAATAGTTAGTTTAATTGTGTATGTTTATTATTTTAGTTATTAATAAATATGTTTTTTTTTAATTTCTTACTTTTATATAAAATTTTTGAAAAAAAATTATTTCTTTTACCATTTTTACTTTTTTATTTAGTGCCATTAAGTTTTTTGTGTTTTGTTATAATTTTTTTGTTTTTAATTTTTAATTATTATTTTCCAAAAATATAACAATTCTTTTTTAAATCATAACATTAAAGATCTTTAGCAAATTTCATTATATCCAGTACAAAATCCCCGCCTAATAGTGGAATAATGCTGCAATTAAATGTTTTGATTTTTTTTTTAATTTCTTTTTATTAATTCTTTTTTATTATAATTTTTATTAAATTTTATTATGTAAATATGATTTGACCAATTTATTTAGTTTTTTTATTTAATTACTTATTCTGATTACATACAGTATTTGTAATTATTTGAACAAATATTATATATATTACAATTTATAATTAATAAACAATTATTTTCGTGTAAGTGTAAATAATTTAATCTTTAACTAAATATAAATAAAAATTAATAAAATGAAAATAAGAAAGACTTTTATTTCAATTATATTCTTTTAAAAGTATGAGTGTTATATTCGGTTATAACGAATCTGATATAACTGCTATTTTATAAAGTTTACAATATGGCGAACAATCATGAGTCTTGCATATGGAGTTAGGATCGATCCTTTTAAAATCA